CCGTTTTCACAACTTGGCCAGTTTTACATGGAGACCAAGGATTAGACATAGTGCCTACTGCTAGTCTGGCCATTTGGCCTTACAGCACTAGGCCGTTAATCGGGCACACCCACAGAAGTCTAGTTAGTATCTTTTTTAGAACTAAGTCTCAACTCACATTTACAGGTGAAGTACTCTTCGCTGCCTAGAGCCGCCTGAGTCAGTCAATCTTACTTCTATTTCGTATACATTCCTCACCCAGATTCACACCGCTTCCTCCACTGAACCAGCCCGAGGAGTACATGCCTGCGTTTAAGCATATTGGAGCATGACCAAGTTCCATCAACGCCTTCATTAGTTCGCTCCTTCATATTAAGCGGAATTGTATAATTACCGGTGCGATCAATATGTATATCAAAGACTAATCAAGAGTTTCTGCACATTAATATCAGTCTTACCATCTCATTAATCACACCTTTACTAAACACTTTACTCAAAATTTACTTATTCGATAGGTAAAAGAACTTTTCTTCTGAGAAGCACAGCCTAACTTCACCACAATAAGGTAACATGACCTTTGGCAAGCAAAATAAGGATTACTTTTAAGGTGGTCATTTATGGCGTGTAGATGTGAAGACCAAGATGGTGTGCCCTTCAGTTTGACCTCAGTCTCCTTTAGCCTTATAGTGTTGGTTCGACGTTGTTTTCGCAACTTGGTCGCAACATCAGGGAGACCTTGTGGAGCTTACCTAGTCCCGTGTCCTCTGACATAATATTCGTGAGTTTCAACTTCGGGCCAAAGACATGGTGCATGTATTGTATTATGACAACTTTATTGGTCACTCAGTCATCAATTCTTCTGTCCTTTCCGTCTAGCAAAACCGTTTAATTGCACTTAAATCAGTTCGGCTGTGCATGTTTGGCAAGTCTCGTGATCCGACATGAATTCTTAAACAATCAACATGATTAGGTTCATGTATTGCCTGAGATTCTGCCTCTAGTCTCTTATGCAGCACTCGAGTAGGCTAGTATCAAATCTGTACCCTGAACTTCGAACCCCCAATAAAAAAATTTCAATATAATATTTTCCAAGGAGCCCCATTTCACACTAATCTTAGAGTTGATTCCTTAGTCCACAATCTTCTTCTAAATTATATTTGTCGCCAAAAACCCCTTCCCTGAGTTGCCTTTTCCTATATCATAAATTTTGGCTGATATTGTAGATTCTCTACTTTTTACAGGTTCACCTAAATAATCAACAATCTCCTGACGAAGTATTCCCATCCAATATTTTCTGTTAATTAGGTTTCATGGAACAAAGATGTTGATTAGACACCTGATCGTCCGTTTCACCTTATGAAGCTAGTCCTTCAGTTGAATTTCAAGTGTTTTTGAGTTTATAGTTCTGTAGCCTATGCTATTTAATGTCTACGCTTATTCTCTCCTGTCTTCCTTACTTTGCTTTCTTAACCCCAATCTTTCTGACTAACCATCACTACCCTTTTGCTGCTTTCATTTGATACCCGTTCCTGAGGTAATTTGTCCAGTTGTTATTCCCATAATTTCCTACATTTTGTTATTAGGCATAATTACTCCGATATTTAGCCTGCAGTTATGGTTAGACAAAAGGCTGATGATTGATCCAGTGTGTGATTTGTTTCAGAATAACCTTATCATTAAAATTTTAAGTAAATAACCCATACAGCCAGGAGAGACACCAAATCCTCGCTATCAAAAATTGTAAACTTCACATTTTTCCTATGAAATGATGTTAAATTAGGAAATAGTCGTCGAGATGTATTTACAGCAGTGACGACATTCTGAACTCTCTATCCAACTACTTCATACAGACATTAATTTTTAAAAAGAGGTGAGTAACGAGACTATAGGTATACACTGCTGCCTAATGTGCTCAAATTAAGCTCGAATCCCATCTAGGATGCTGATTCGAAAGCCTTTCGGAAATTAAATTCACTGGCATCGTGAGGCCTTCCGCTCATTTCGATGTGGGAAACTAAACTATCAGTCCTTCCATTTCCCTAAGTTATCTAAAGTGTAGTATCACGAATTCATAACCATTATATACTGGCCACAATCCTTGCCCCGGCTAAATCGGTCATAGGCGCTGCCTCAATTACATTCTGCTCTAGTCTATTCTCTCAGTGCCAGACGAGAAAGAAGCAATGACTGGGCATGCAGTCAAGCTAGAGCCCAAATTTTTTGCCGGCAATGAGCAGCGTCTCGAGATCAAGATAGACCAATGTGGTAGAATGAAGGAAAGGAGAGGACAAAACTCAAGAAATTCTGGGGAAAATAAGGCAAGTACAGACAGACGTTTTTTTATCAATATGGTTACTGACCCAATATGGCCTGGCTCCTGATTTACTAAAGTAGAAGCAGCAGTCTTTGACAGGCATTTATATGGATGGATTAAGACGCAGTTCGGTGAGGTCGGAGCGAGTGAAGAAAGATAAGTTAAAGAGAAGATGAGATGAAATGCGCAAATGCGGGCGACGAGTGTATGATAATGATTGCGCGGTGGATGCCCAAAGAATGCATTTGTCTCATGTCCAGAAGGCGAAACGACTTAGGAATACCGACGACCTATCGTCTGACCAGAAAATTTTATGTGATTTAAAGTAAACAAGAGTCCATCCAGGCATACTTGAGAAGATAGCATAGTCTTTATGATAATTTTAACCAATGGAAGCCAGACATGTGGACATCCAATTAATCTCAAGCCCTAAAAGCAGAACGGAAAGCGAACTGTTTGAGGAGCGCCCGACGCCTAACCGGAAAGTGCATTCAGATACTTCCGAGATCCTGAAATCTTCTATGGCCGAGCGCAGGTGCTTCAGTCAGTTATTTTATCAACACGATGTGAGCGATTGGCAACCATGGCTAATGGAAGTTACAATGTAATTATGCCTCACTTCTGGTTCAGAATATGAGCCTATCTTTGTGAGTGATCATAAAAGAATTGCAGGCTATCTATCGGACAAATATATCCCATGGGAAAAGTTGAAACAGCAAGCTATACTGAAACACATCCAAAACATAAGGCTACATACCTCGTTCTCTTTTTTGGCGGCCGGCACTCCGGGGCCAGTAAATGGTACCACAAAGTTGTCAGGGAAGAGGCCAAAGCGTTGAGTCCTGGTGTTGTAGCCTTGCCACCAGCCGTCGTCGGGCAGGTTTCGTTCAAGCACCAAAATTACGTCGCCCACGCGCAGCTCTAGCTCGTCGTCCTCTTTTGGTTCATAGTCATATCTAGCCTGTACTCGCTGTTGCGGCTGCTGTTGTACCAAATGGTTGCCGCCAGAAGCCATTGGGGATATCGGGGTTTCTTCACCAGGATGCCGATCGACGTCAGGAAAGTCAGCTGGCAGGAAATTGAAAGGCAGTGAAAGAATAGAGAAAATTAAACTTAAAAGTGCATGCAGAGCGTCGAAACGAAAAATATTTATCTTTATAAAGGATTCAAGCAAAAGTGGAAGTATAAAGAAATCAACTGTTTGGCAAGTATTGCACACAAAGGAAGAAGCTTCATGCTTAAAAGATGTGTGCACAGTGGAAAGGCAATGATTAAATTAAGTAAGCGAGCATGTTTTGATGCGACTAAATATCAAGTGCTAAAACTGTCATCTTTTTACCTAAAAGAATGAAGTATCTTACTAAACTCGAATCTTTGGTGTTCGAAGAAGTCTCAGATGATTCAATTAAAGAGGTGGCCTAAAATAAGCAGAATCCAACTTACGGTTTAATATATTTTGATGGCTACTTTCCTCAATTTTAGCCAAAAGTCCTAATAACCATGGAAATATAA